CGCTGCCGGGCTGCAGGGAGCCTGCCCTGCCGCAGTGCTGGAGGGGTTCACACGTGAGGCTCTGCCTCCGAGCCGGTGCAGGAGCGAGGCAATGGGGTTTGCCCAAAAATCTGGCTTGTGACTGGAGCCCCTTGGTGCTTTGCTGCCTGTTGAGATGGTGTCAGTCCCCGAGAGGTGGGTATCTGGGCGAGTTACCCGACAGGAACAGTTCTGGTGGGACTCACAAGCTGCTGGTATGCTGGGGCTGCCCCGGGAGCTGAGGGGTGCCTCACCGCCGGCTTTGTGCCACGGGGCAGCTCCGGCAGGAGGAGAGCCGCAGGCTGGTTCTGGAGAAACCACCGCCTGCCCCAGGTCTGTGCCAGCACCGCAGCTTTAGCTTATGGCCTTGGGGAAGGGAGAGACCACCGAAACATCGCGGAGGTCGGGCAATGCCTTAGCGGTAGCTGGGATGGCTTCTGTTTGCAGAACAAGGCTCCGGGTCCCCCCCACCTTTGGGAGTGACAATCGAGGCTCTGTCACGCTCTTGCCTCTCAGTGGTAGGAGTATTTTGAGAAGCTTCTTTAGTCTGTGTTTAATTTCTGCTCTTATCTTGTCTAGAATCTCTCCTGCCAGTCAGAACAGCAGCTTTGTCTGACTTTACCCTTTTATTTGTGCTTTAAACTATCTCGGTGTGGTCGCTTGCATTAGAAATGCCATGCGCGAGGAACTTTCTTTGTAACCCTAAAATGTCTTGCTTCTGGCAGGAATTTAAGAGCAAAGATAGTCTGGACCTTTTACATTGCAAACATTTCACTGCTTTTTTTGGAAAAGGTGCAGTAAATCATTTATGGGATAAGACTTTTGTTATGCTGTTGTGCAAGACTTTGCCATTTATAACTTCCCCTGAAAAGTATTGTTTACAGACAGGAGCAAAACGTGGAGGAAGAAAGATTACCTGACAGTCCGTACGCGCATTAGTCCTAACCTCGTGAAATGGCCCCTGTAAGCGGAGAGCTGGGCTTTCCCAAACATCCTCCCTGCCCTTTGTCTCGCTTCTGTGGTTCCTTATCTTTGCATCTGGGGATGTCGGTCCTGCGGATCGGCTGCTGCTCTCCTCCCTCTTTTCTCCTGGTTCTCTGTCCTGCAAAGATGACGGTAAACCTCCCTGCCCCTGGCCCGGGCTGCAAAGCTGACCTGGGAAGCGACCAGGGGGCCTGTGGGCCCTCCTGGAGGAGGGAGCTCCTCTACCTTGACAAGGTTTCTGGCTCGGGGCCACACAGGGCTCCACGGACACTCCTGTGGCTTTGCCTCGCCACGTAATGCTGGCAGCCGGATCCACCGGGTTGTGAATTTGTTTAGGGTTGGTCACAGCTGCCGGGAAAGCACCTGGGTGGCAGCTCCAAATGCTCTGGCTCCATTGAGCCGGCAAACACGCGGAAATGCTGGTGCCTGCTTTGGCTCTCTAACAAATCCATCTTTGTTGGAAGGTTATCGGGCATTTACTGAAGCCAACGATGGAAGCATGTGTCTGGCCATGGAGTATGGAGGAGAAAAATCTCTTGCGGACTTAATCGAAGAAAGAAGTGCAGAGCGGTTGGGTCCTTTCCCTGCTGCCACGATTTTCAAAGTTGCCTTGAGCATGGCGCGGGGGCTGAAGGTATGCTTCACGTTAACCGTAGCTGTTCTGTGTGGGATCGTTCGTATACGCTGCTGACACAAAACCCAAATGAATTTGGTGTGTGAAAAGGCCGTGCCGGCAGATGGAGAGCAGATGCTGCGATGCTTTGTATAAAGCCTTGGTGGTTTGTTTTTTTTTTACCAGGGTGCTGTACAGACTCTGGTGAAAACTGAGCCTTGAAGCTTGAGATTGAAGTAATATCAAAAGAGATGCAGCAGAGTTTTTGTCACAAATGTTCTGCTGCCCTCCCCTGGGGCTACCTGCCGTCCCTGCTCGCTAGCCAGCGAGGAGGCTGGCTGCTGGCTCCTGCATCCTTCTCACTGTGCCAGGCAGCGCAGAAAGCTGGTTTCGGCAGTGAAAATGGTGAGCTGATGCCTGCAGCTGCCAGCTGGTGCTGCTTCTGCACCTCCTCTTGCCGCGCTGCGGCAGCCACCGTGCTGAAGTTGCGTTTAAGGCAAAAGACGGAGAAAATGGAGACTCAGCAGTGCTCTGTCTAAACCACAGCACGGCTTCTGAGCCTTCCCTCGGCTATGCCAGCTACCAGGGTAAAGCACGGGCTGCCCTGGCCATGGCAGCGAGTCCTGTGCCTCTGCTGCCGAGGAGATGCAGCTCTGAGCTCCCGAGAAAATGTGGACGCGTGCTTGAGCATCAGCTAGTGCCCGTGCTTTGCACCCGCTCTCAAGTGCTTGTTGCTAGAGGTGCTGCTCGCAGCCTTTCACCAAAAGGTGACCGTAAGCTTCCCAAACTAGGCTGGGTGGAAGAACCTGCCCTGTGTTTTCTAAGTATTAAGGTAGGCACTGACCCATCCGTGAGGTTTTAAGGCTAAATATATTAAAAATTAGAAAGTTGGTGCTTTGTTGTCCAAATCCAATGGCTCCTCCCGCCTCCCCCCGGGGGGATCTGAAGGGTGTTAACGGCCTCTCTCTGCCTCTTAGTACCTGCACAACGACAAGAAGCTGCTCCACGGAGATATCAAGTCTTCAAACGTGGTCGTTAAAGGCGACTTTGAAGCCATCAAGATCTGCGATGTGGGAGTGTCCCTGCCCCTGGATGAGAACATGACCGGTAGGTCGGTCGGCCGGGAAAGGGACCGGAATGCTTGGTGGCTGCCAGAGTTTGGCTCCGGGAGCAGAGTGAACACGTTTCCCCTCCCGTGACCCGGGAGGGAAAGACTGGCGAGTGGTTTGCACCGTGCGTGGGTAAAGGGGATCTCTGGAAAGTCCAGCTTTAATTCTCCAGACCTGTAACGTCTGTCTCATGCCCTTCCACGCTCGTACGTTCGCTCCTGTGGGCAGGAACGCCGTTGTACCCGGGATGCTGGATCCAGCCCCGCTGGACCCTGTTGAGGAGATGCTCTTGCCAGAGAGTTAAGTACATGAATCTTTCTCACAGGGCCAGGAGGAAGCACGAGCCAAACGCAAGCGTTATAAAGACTTCATGTAAATGAGAAGCAGATGTCTAATGGCGTCGTGGCTTGGCTGTGCTTTGGGTTAATTACAAGAATGCTTTTCTCCGCTGCTTTACACAGCGCTTGGGCCTGCAACAGCCTCATAATTTATAAAGCTGCTCTATTACATTTTTATTAGTAGCTGTTCCCTTTTATAAGGAGCAAGAGAGCTGGAGGCAGCGCCCCAGCGTAATCTCCCAGAGAGGAGTGTGGTTAAAGTATCAGTTTCTGGGCTGGTTTAACAGGAAGAAGTCTTCTCCGCCCAGCCCCGATTTTTGGCTTTCTCTCCTCGTGGTCTTGAAGAGACAACGGGCACCCACCGACGGCGAGGGTGCTGGGTCCCCGTCCGTGTGGCAGCCAAGGATTAAAGCACAGCAGCCCGCGAAGCGTTGAGGGATTTTGGCGTTTGCTTCTTGTTACAGGCCAGGCTCTGAAGATCAGCTCTGCAAGAGAAAAGTTTCTTGAACAGCTGAGATTGCTGACAGCTCAGGAATTTGCTAGGGAGAGCAGGGGGGGGAATGTGGCACCTTCCTCTTGGGAGCGGTGCATCAGGGATCGAGTCAGGGCTGGTGCTTCCTGCGTCAGGCTGACAGCTGATCGCTTCAGCTCTCCTGAGGCTAATTAGGATCAAGGAGGCATTAAATTGAACAAAGTGGTGAGAATGTGGTTTGGGCTGGAGTAAAGCAAACGCAAAGGACTGCGTGGCTGGCAGGAGGCACTGCGTGGTGGAGGCTGATGGAGCCTCGCAAGGACCGGCGCCGGGTTGGCTTTGTCCCCTGGCGTTGTCTGGGGAAGGTCACCCCAGTCCTGCTTCCTCGGGGCGGGGGGGCCAAGCTGAGGAAGGGAAAAACCTGAGTAAAACGCAGGGAATTTCTCACCGCTTCATTGCGGGGTGTCCTACAGCGAGGTTAAGCTACAGAGCACAGCTCTGACCTCTGGGTCTTCTCTCCACGCGCTCTGTGGCCTGAGACACTCCACCGTGAAATATCCTCGCGGCGGTTTCTCCGCAGTCCCTAACGCGCGTTGCCGGGCCCGCGGAAGAGAAGCACAAGCCCTGCTGGGTCTGGCACTGCTGCAGAGCAAGTCGCAGGTTACAGGGGATTTAAGACTACGCAAATGTGAAAGAAAAATGGGCTCAGGCCCCCAAAAGATCCTGCCCTGTGGCTTTAGTAACCCTGAGCTAACCGACAGGCTAAATCCCTGCTGTGTGGCGAGCTGTGGCTGCAAGTCCCAGCAGACCCCTGAGCCACGTTGTTTCCTTCCAGTGAGTGAGCCGGAGATGTACTACATCGGCACTGAGCCCTGGAAGCCCAAGGAAGCGCTGCAGGATAACGGCGTGATCACCGACAAGGCCGACATCTTCCCTTTTGGGCTGACTCTCTGGGAAATGATGACCCTCTCTGTGCCCCACCTCAACCTGGGTGATGAGCCTGATGACGAAGGTTTGTTTCTACACCTTGCTGGTGAGCAACTTCAGCTCCTAGAAGTGCTTTCCTCTCTCAGCAGGATGGATTTTTGGGTTTTCTAACAGTGTGTGTTAGTACCCCTACAATGCTGGGTCTCCCTTGGCTGCCAGCTGAAGGGCTCGCAAGCGTCTGTCTGCACCTGCCGAGTCTCCCTCCTCCAGGCTAAACCCCCCAGCTCCCTCAGCCGCTCCCCATCAGACTTGTGCTCCAGACCCTTCACCACCGGAAGGGGCTGGCAAGCGTCTGTCTCCCCCTGCCGAGTCTCCCTCCTCTTCTCCAGGCTAAACCCCCCAGCTCCCTCAGCCGCTCCCCATCAGACTTGTGCTCCAGACCCTTCACCACCTTCCTTGCCTTCCTCTGGAAGCCTTTCACAAGCCAGGATGCTGTTGGCCACCTTGGCCACCCCCTGGTTCAGAGTTACACCGAGTGGATGAGGCAGTGGGGAGCGGATAGGATGGGCAAGGGGAGCACTACAGCTGCCTGCGGGCAGATCGTATCGTGGAGGGATACAAAGCTAAAAATCCTACAGGCTGTGCTGGGAAAACTTCTCTTGCTCCAGCCTTCACGCTGGCACGGACCTGCAGGCTGGCTTGTGTTTTCGAACTCAGTCTCCAGGCAGCTGGGGGATTTTTCCTCACTCTCCCGCTGTCAGCGTCTCCTGGCTGCAGAGCTTTTTCCCAGCCAGCTCTGCAGGGGTGACTCAGAGTTATTCTGCTGGGAGGAAGCGGGTAGATACAGCTTCAAAATAAGTGATTTAAGTCAAAGGGAAAGTAATGCCGTATCCCAGGTGGTAATTAGTGCTAGCAAAGGAATAGCGAAGCTGATGTGACGGTCACATCCCACTGCACCCTCTGGTGCCCCCAACAAAGGGAGGACATGGAGCTGTTGGAGCGAGTCCAGAGGAGGGCACGGAGATGACCCGAGGGCTGGAGCACCTCTGCTGTGAGGACAGGCTGAGAGAGTTGGGGGGGTTCAGCCTGGAGAAGAGCAGGCTACGGGCAGAGCTCCGA